AAGTCGTGTTTATAGAGAAGGTGAAAATATTCAAATATGGTATAGATATTGGGCATCCTGCCTTTATTTTAAGACAAGAGACTTCCTTTCACCGTTCTAAGTATCACTTCTTGACAAAGAACTTTTTGAATTTAAAATATTTTGAGGTCATAGAAATTAATTATGAAATAATATTTCACTTAATTTGAAATTAATCATTTAATTTTTCCAAGTGCTGCTCACACATCTCTAATGAAATCCTTTTTGAGATAACACACACACAGACACACACACACTCTAACCCATTATAAATTATTGACATGTTCGTATCTGACACCTGACACTATGTGATGCAAAGTGACTGTGAGAAGAATCATTGATCAATTACGAAACACATTTCAATCGTTGCCATTGCATAAGGACCTGCATAATGTGTGCGTGTGTGTGAGTGAGTGCATATTTGTAACTAAACCATAACTGTCCATTGAATGGCCATTGTGTATCCTTGGAGTCGATGTCCGTGATGTCGTTGATGTTGTCACAATGATTATTAATTACCAATGACTACATTTCGAAAAATGAACATTAATGACTTGCATTGTCAATGGATTGCCATGGAAATGTAGCGTTTAATGCCCCAGTAGAAGAGGTCCTTTCTCTGTTGCAATTGAGGGATATGATAATTGTTAGGATTTAATGGATTTTTGTAGAATTTTGTATCCGATTTTATGCGAAATCATAAGTTCCATATTTATCTCAGGTTTATGGTAGAGAAAAATATTTAAATATAGCAAGTTGTAAAGAATCGCTGACTTGTTCCTCAAGTTATGACAGATAAAAGTATTAACCAGTAAAGAAAGTCTTAAAGTCGGGCGGGGCCGACTTTATGATACGCTACACCACTTTGCTAATTTAGTAGCTCTTATGGGAAAATTCAATCACACACATTATGATTATAATTATAATATAAAGTTTAAAGGACTAAATATGCCGAAGCATTTGTAAATTTAGACTTGTATTGCCCATTCGGTGCACACTTAATTTGAAAACATACAAAATATATATGGAAGCTATACCCAAATCGGAACCGATCTCCATAAAGTTTGGCAAAGATATTTCTGAGCTGTATTTCATATATTTCCCTGAATATCGTTGTTACGGAGTGCATATTACGGTTGTGGGTAACAAATATAACAAATCGGATGAAATATGGAAGCTATAGCTATATCTGAACCGATCTTCACCAAATTTGACATACTAGCTTGTAGACTCAATTCGGTCGTATGTGCCAAATTCCATCCCATTTGGACAAATATTAGAGTAAATCGGACGAAGTTATATATGGGAGCTATATCCAAATCTGATCCGATCTCGATAAATTTTAGCAAATGTATTTCTGAGCTGCATTTGATATATTTTCCTAAATATTGTTGTTACGGAGTGTACATTACGGCTGCGAAGGACAAATATAACAAATCGGATGAAAAATATATATGGTAGCTATAGCTATATCTGAACCGATTTCGATAAAATTTGGCATACTTATTTTCAGGCCTAATTTGGGTGTATATGCAAAATTCCATACAATTCGGGCTGATATTATACGTTTGGTGCACAATAAAAGGCAAATCGGACGAAGATATATATGGGAGCTATATCTAAATTTTTACCGATTATCTCCAATTTTAATAGGGTTCGTCCTTCGGCCAAACAAATGATTTGTGAAAAATTTCATCTGGATAGGGCAATAAGTGCGAATTGTACTTTGTTTACAAAAATACACGGACAGACGGACGGACGGACATGCATAAATCGACTCAGAATCTGATTCTATGCAAATCATCAAAAGGAACTATGGGTCTATCTCGTTTCCTTTTGCCTGTTACAAACAAATGCACAAAGACATAATACCCTGACCACCTTGGGTATAAAAATTGTGACCCTTTGTCTGTGGGGTACCAGAAGGTGTTCACATATATATATCATCTTCACAATAGATCTTGTGTTAGCAAAAATGTTTGTATGTGTGAAATTTGAAGAGAGTTGGATGTTTATTTCGCTACCATTTTATTTTGAAAATATTGAACCCTATGTGGGAGAGGTACCAGAAGAAATGGTCAAATCTCTACAATCTTTATGACAGATCTTGTGTTGATGGAAATATTTGGATTTGTCAAGTCTGAATGGAATCGGATGTTAATTTCGCGTTTTACGTGCCAAATGGATGTTCAAAATTTTGACCTTTTGTGGGGGTCAAACTTCCTAGACATCAATCGAAATCCAAAATTAGTACCATTCAGTTCTTTTTGAACCATTAAAGTACGTATTTGCCTAACCACACCAGATCTCAACACCGGATACCTTAATATCAAATTTCGAGATTCTAGCCTTATCCAATACCTAATTTAGTACCAACTACAACTACTCCTTCACCCAATATCAAATTTAGTACCACATCCATATCAAATTTCAGGATTAATAAAAATCTTGTGATTTGTGTAATTTGAAGACAATCGGTCTCATACATCACCTTTTATAAGAGGTACTTGATAGAGTGGACCGATATTGTCAATTTTCTCACCTCGCCTAGTAATGAGAAAAATATTAGGATTTGCAAAGTTGGAGCAATCGGAATATCCTTTCTCTTTCTGTGCAGTAAATTTTTATACAAGGTGGTCAGGGTATTATGGCTTTGTGCATTTGTTTGTAACAGGCAAAAGGAAACGAGATAGACCCATAGTTCCTTTTGGTGATCTGCATAGAATCACATTCTGAGTCGATTTATGCATGTCCGTCCGTCCGTCCGTCTGTCCGTCTGTCCGTCTGTCCATGTATTTTTGTAAACAAAGTACAGATCGCATTTATTGCCCGATCCAGATGAAAATTTGCACAGATCATTTGTTTGGCCCAAGGACGAACCCTATTGAAATTGGAGATAATCGGTCAAAATTTAGATATAGCTCCCATATATATCTTCGTCCGATTTGCCTTTTATTGTGCACCAAACGTGTAATATCAGCCCGAATTGTATGGAATTTTGCACATACAACCAAATTGGACCTGAAAATATGTATGACAAATTTGATCGAAATCGGTTCCGATATAGCTATAGCTCCCATATATATTGTTCATCCGATTTGTTATTTTTGTCCTCCGCAGCCGTAATATGTATTCTGCAACAACAATATTTGGGGAAATATATCAAATACAGCTCAGAAATACATTTGCTAAATTTTATCGAGATCGGTTCAGATTTGGATATAGCTCCCATATATAACTTCGTCCGATTTGCCTTTAATTGTGCACCAAACGTCTAATATTTGTCCAAATGGGATGGAATTTGGCATATGCGACCGAATTTAGTCTCGAAGGTAGTATGCCAAATTTGGTGAAGATCGGTTCAGATATAGTTATAGCTCCCATATATACTGTTCATCCGATTTGTTATATTTGTTACCCACAACCGTAATATGCACTCCGTAACAACGATATTCAGGGAAACATATCAAATACAGCTCAGAAATATCGTTGCCAAATTTTATCGAGATCGGTTCAGATTTGGATATAGTTCCCATATATATATTTTTATCCGATTTCAAATTAATTGTGCACCAAATGGCAATACAATTCCGAATTTAAAAGATACAAATGCTTCGACATTTTTAGTCCTTTGGACTTTAAATTATAATTATAATCATAGCGTGTATGATTGAATTCTCCCATAAAAACTTTTTAATGTTATGTGGAGCTCTACTAAATTAGAAAAGTGGTGTAGGGTATCATAAAGTCGGCCCTGCCCGACTTTAAGACTTTCTTTACTGTTTTTTTTTGAAAAGTTCGACCTTTTGTGGGGGACGTACCAGAAGGAGTGGGCCGATATTGCTCGTCTCCGAACTCAATCTTGGTCATCATATTTTCATTAAAAGTTCGACCTTTCGTGGGGAGGTACCAGTAAGAGTGAGCCGATATTGCCCTTCACCGAATTCAATCTAAGTTTGATAATAATATTACGATGTACCAAGTTTGGACTACATCGGATACTCCCTTTGAGAGTCATCGTGCACCGGCCAGCCAGACAGAAAGACTGGCGGACATCGCTAGATCGACTCCAAATATCCTGAAACTGATTTGCTCCAAAGAGACCTACGCTCTAAAACCATTATTTCGATGAGCCTAGCTATATGGTAGAAGGTATAAAAATCGAAAATGAAATTGAATTTTTCAGGACCACCAGAGCCATATTCGTGATATATTTAAAGCAAAACTATAATACATAGGATTCGAGCTTTATTAAAATCCACCGGATTTTTCATTATTACAAAAATTTCAGAAAGAGCGCCACATAAATAAATTCCGCCTTTTTGAAACAAAAATCTTGTTTATCTTTAATTTATTTGTCTCTGTCTGACTCCCAAGTTTAATAAGCTTCGGGCATTATTCTAATTAAATGCTGGCATTTAAGTTTTTTTTTCTAGCACACTAACTCTCCACCCTCCAACCCTTGAGAAATAATGCATCAAGCGTTGAACACTTGACATTGATATGCATTTTATGTTTGACACATTTTGCACATTTCCCTTTTTGATGAAGTTTGTCAGCGTTTGCTTTTCACCAGCTAACAGCTCTTGGCGGAAAATGTTTCCTGGCAAAGTGGAGCAGAGCGCGCAGCACAGGCGTCACGTTTTAATGAAAATGTAATTTCTATTTCACTGTCAACAGTATGTCACATGACATTAATCCAGGCAACGAACCATCCAATGGTTGCTTCCTTCACTCATCCACCCACCCATCCAGCTTTCCCCTCAAAGTGCGAAATGAATGAAAACTGCTGCCTTCGTCGATTGCAACAGTTTTCATCATGGCCGGGACATTAATGTAATTTCCCTTTTTTCCTACGTTTTTTTCATTTTCAAAACGCTGCACTCACAATAAAGTGAAAAGAAAAAACTTAAAATGCATTCTCAATTTCGTTTTTTTTTTTTTTTTGTTTTCATTTCTTCTTCTTTTTTTTCCAATTCCAGGCAAATTGGTTTAAGGCCACACAATATTGTCGTTACCATGGCATGCACTTGGCAAGCATATCATCGCAAGAAGAGAACGATAGACTGGAGAAACATATCAAAGATTTTGGTAAGTAACGAATGGAAAGAAAACGTAGAAGAAATAAAGAAAATAAAAAAAAAGAAGACCACACATTAAGGTATTACTAAGTTTGAGTGTATTGAAAGGGAAGCAAGGTGAAACTCGAGAGTAATTAACAACCCATATGCTGGGCAGAAATAAGTGTGGTATAATTCTCCACTAATTGGTGGGGGGTGGGGAAAAACGAAATGATGTAGCAAATGGCGTGGTCACCTGGGGAAGGTAGAATATTTAATGTTAGGTTGAAGATATTCAGTATGTAGAGCAAAAATTTTAATATAATTATAGTTTCATGATTAACATTTTATGCATCGTCCCGCTGTTCAAAACTTTTACCAAAATATCCGTGACTAGCAAGTACCATCTACTTCGTCAACGAAAAGTTCATCTTAAAATTTTGATTCGTGTTTGGCCTTTTTAGTACTCAAAATGTTAGGCCTTTTTATACCCTCCACCATAGTATGGAGGGTATATTAAGTTTGTCATTCCGTTTGTAACACCTCGAAATACACATTTTAGTATAGTATATATATTTTTGATCAGCATAAAATTCTATGTCAATTTAGCGATGTCCGTCCGTCTGTTGAAATCACCCTAGCTTCCGCGCGAATTGAAGTAGATTGAAAAAATATTGCTCAAATGTATATTATGTCTGCAGGACTTTTGGTATTGAAAATGGGCCATGTAGGTCCACGTTTTCATATAGCCCCCATATAACGGTACCTCCCGATATTCGGTATTTTGATGATTTTAGCGACATTATTCACCGGAATTGTTTCAAATTTGGTATTTGAAGTTCATAATGGATACTACAGCCTAAGACAGAAAATTGTCTGTGCAGGTCCACGTCTTCGTATAGCCCCCATATAACGGTACCTCCCGATATTCGGTATTTTGATGATTCTTGCGGCATTATTCACCGGAATTGTTTCAAATTTGGTATTTAAGATTCGTGATAGATACTACAGCCTATGACAGAAACTTATCTGTGCAGGTAGACGTCTACGTATAGCCCCCATATAACGGTACCTCCCGATATTCGGTATTTAGATGATTTTAGCGAATTTATTCACCGGAATTGTTTCAAATTTGGTATTTAAAGTTCGTAGTGGATACTACAGCCTATGACAGAAAATTGTCTGTGCAGGTTCACCTCTTCGTAAAGTTCCCATATAATGGTACCTCCCGATATTCGGTATTTTAATGATTTTAGGGGCATTTTTCGCCAGAATCGTTTCAAATTTGATATTTGAAATTGAGTTTCAAATTTGGTATTTGAAGTTAATAGTAGATACTACAGCTTAAGACAGAAAATTATCTGTGCAGGTTCACGTCTACGTATAGCCCCCATATAACGGTACCTCCCGATATTCGGTATTTAGATGATTTTAGCGAATTTATTCACCGGAATTGTTTCAAATTTGGTATTTAAAGTTCGTAATGGATACTACAGCCTATGACAGAAAATTGTCTGTGCAGGTTCACCTCTTCGTAAAGCCCCCATATAACGGTACCTCCCGATATTCGGTATTTTAATGATTTTAGGGATATTTTTCGCCAGAATCGTTTCAAATTTGATATTTGAAATTCGTAATGGATACTGCAGTCTACGACAGAAAATTGTCTGCACAGGTCCACGTCTTCGTATAGCCTCCATATAACGGTACCTCCCGATATTCGGTATTTTGATTTTATCGACATTGTAACCGATTTTTATTTAAGTTTCGCATTTGAATATTGTAACGGCTTATGACAAATGTTACCTACGCAGGTTCATGTTGTCGTATAGACCCTAATACATTAGCTACATTCGGTATTTTTAAATTTTTAACAGAAGTTTTAACGGATTTTATTGTTTTTGAGAATTGCCAAATTTGTGCCAAATGGTGGATGGTATTCAAAGTTCGGCCCAGTCGAACTTACAGCTCTTTTACTTGTTAGTATTAAAAACGTTTAGTACACACATTCAAAGCATCCTAGAAAGTGATCTAAAATTAGTATTAGTATTTAGTACTTTTCGTACAAATATAGAACGTATTTCCAAATTTCCAGCAAATCGCAAATACAGATACCATCAGTAATCTAAATATCTAATTTCGGAATTTTATCTCTATCTCTTCACCCAATACCAAATATAGTATTATTTAGTATTTTTCATACAACTATAGTACACATTTCCAACACCACCTCCATATATCTAGATTTCAAGCACTATTTATTCACCCAATACCAAATTGTACCAAATACAGTACTATTTAGTACTTTTCGTGCACTTGCAGTATACATTTTCGAAACCTCTCTATCACAAATCTACCACCAACAGGAACCTCAACACAAAATTTCAAAATTCCAGCTATTCCATAAAATGCCTTGGAAGGCTCTTCTGCCGAGAGGAAACGCGTTTTAAGTATACATTTTAAGGAGTTTTCTATAGAGAGAGAGAGAGAGAGAGAGAGAGAGAGAGAGAGAGAGAGAGAGAGGAAGATAGAAAGAAATAGAATACCTTTTAGGGAAAATGAAGGTCATCACAAGAGGTCGTGAGAAGTCCCGCCAAAAGGTTATATTTTAGAGAGGCATTCTTCTAAATAATCTCCATAGATAGAAAATCATTTATGGGTACCATAAAATTAGAATTGCAGGGGAAACTAGAGAGAGAAGACATTTAACAAGTTTTTTTCAGATCGATGAGTTCTTCTGAACATTAAACATTTTTTATGGGTCTTCTGTATATAGGAGAGCTTCTAGAATAGTTATGTTGATGTGCATATCTTAGGTAACACTCTCCAACATATATCTGTAGATTATACATTTTCATTAATTAGTGGAACTTTTTCTCCAATTAATTTAATTTCTCAACATTCAACTTCCGCTTAATTGATGACCAAAATTCCTTTCTAATTACTCAACACCAGAGGATTTAATGCTCCGTTTTCTGATTTTCCTTTCTCTCACGGGAATACCGCATTCCATTTAAATGACATTTCTTTTTTTTTATTGAATTCCTTTCATTCCACCCGCTTTGGTTTCGATTAGATTTGAAGCATTTGAACATTTGCCGTTAAAATGTGAAAATTAGGTTAAATACTAGGACCGTAGTCATGTAACAAGCTAACCAAATGGGCTAAACAGAGAAAAGAGAAAAAATCAACTCCATCTGTTATCTACAAAAACAAAAAAGCGAACGAAAAATCCAACAATTGTCCATACATAGAAGTTTGTTTGTAACTTTACATTGAGATTGTAATGTTTGGTGAATGGTAATTTGGTATGGCGTTGGATGTGGCAGTGGGGGTTGGGGGTTAGATGTTGCTTGTCGCTTGTCTTGTTGTAATAAGTCATTGCTCTAATATGGGTTACATGGAATCTATTGCATACCCGGTGAGAGCAAAGAAGGCAATGCATTGCTCCAAACAATGTAGCAGCAACTCAACTCTCTGCCCATAGTTCAGAGTTAATATGGCTGCTGCTGCTGTTGTCTGTGACAAAAGAAGCCAAAAAGGAAAACTAGCGCAAAAATATTGAAAGCCATGCCATGCCATAATACCCGGAAATATAATTTCATTTAGAGACAAAAAAAAATGAAAACGAACATAAAAATAGAGTAAATGCAAGCATTTAATAAGCGTTTGTGTGACAGGAGATATAAACGGCATGCCTTGTTCGTTAGAGATGTAGAGCAGTAATAAAACTTGTTAGAGCGTTTGTTTTGTGCTCCTAAAACAAAAGTAAAATGGAAGAAATTGGAGCAAATATTTCAAATGTCAATTGTTTTCGCTTAACATTTGGGAATTGTCAAATTGTATGTATGTGAAAAAAAAGAACTCGGGTATGTAAATATTTGAAAAATGAAGGGAATCTAATTAAACAAAATTTTTTTATTGCAAATTCAAATAAAATCTGATAATGATGAATAATAGATATATGTTTCCGAAAGAATATAGTACAAAAGAATAATAATAAAGAATAAATATGTTTCCGAAAGAATATAGTAAAATAGCAGCTATACCCTCCACCATTTGGAAGAAACCTGAAAAATTAAATAAAAATCCGTCGGAAAATACCATTCAAATGAAAACCGTTACATGGGGGCTATACGAATACATGGTCCTGCCTAAGAAATTTGCTAAAAATTTAAGGGCTGTAGTAACTGTTCCGAAATTTATAAAAGAAATTTGAAAAAATTTGAATAACGTCGCAAAGACCCTCAAAATACTGACTTTCGGGAGGAACCGTTATATAAGGGATATATGATATTGGGGACCTATATGGACAATTCTCTTCCTGGGGGGGTCATGTAGTCACAAGGAATTTTGTGGATTTTAAGACAATCCATAATTGTAAGTGGCCTTCGAACAGCCAATGAAACTGTCACACGCTGCCCGAATGTTGCTGTGCGGTATTTTGGCCCATTCACGGCGAAGCGCTTGCTTGAGGTGATCGACACTTTGGTATTTTTTATACCCTACACCACAAGGTGGACAGGGTATTATGTCTTTGTGCATTTGTTTGTAACAGGCAGAAGGAAACGAGATAGACCCATAGTCCCTTTTGATGATCTGCATAGAATCACATTCTAAGTCGATTTATGCATGTCCGTCCGTCCGTTTGTCCGTCCGGCTGTCCGGCTGTCCGCCTGTCCATGTATTTTGCCCGATCCAGATGAAATTTTGCAAAGATTTTTTGTTTGGCCCAAGGACGAACCCTATTGAAATTGGAGATAATCGGTCAAAATTTAGATATAGCTCCCATATATATCTTCATCCGATTTGCTTTTTATTGTGCACCAAACGTGTAATATCAGCCCGAATTGTATGGAATTTTGCATATACATTGGCTTGAAAATAAGTATGCCAAATTTGATCGAAATCGGTTCAGATATAGCTATAGCTCCCATATACATTGTTCATCCGATTTGTTATTTTTGTCCTTCGCAGCCGTAATATGCCCTCTGTAACAACAATATTTGGGGAAATATATCAAATACAGCTCACAAATACATTTGCTAAATTTTATCGAGATCGGTTCAGATTTGGATATAGCTCCCATATATAACTTCGTCCGATTTACCTTTTATTGTGCACCAAACGTCTAATATTTGTCCAAATGGGATGGAATTTGGCACATACGACCGAATTGAGTCTAGAAGCTAGTATGTCAAATTTGGTGAAGATCGGTTCAGATATAGCTATAGCCTCCATATATATTATTCATCCGATTTGTTATATTTGTTACCCACAACCGTAATATGCATTCCGTAACAACGATATTCAGGGAAATATATCAAATACAGCTCAGATATATCTTTGCCAAATTTTATCGGGATCGGTTCAGATTTGGATATAGCTCCCATATATATTTTTAACTGATTTCAAATTAATTGTGAACCAAATGGGCAATACAAGTCCGAATTTAAAACATACAAATGCTTCGGCATATTTAGTCCTTTAAACTTTAAATTAAAATTATAATCATAGCGTGTATGATTGAATTCTCCCATAAAAACTTTTAATTGTTATGTGGAGCTCTACTTAATGAGCAAAGAGGTGTAGGGTATCATAAAGTCGGCCCGCCCGACTTTAAGACTTTCTTTACTGGTTTAGTGCTAACCTTGTTTTCCGGATTGGTATCCGGAGATTTTGGTGGCCATTGTGCGTTGGAAATGAGGCAAGAAATCTCATTTGGTAACCCTTCTTGGGTTGCGCGTGTTGAGTGCGATGATGCTTAGTCCTATTGGAATTTCCAAGGTCTGCGGCCAAAATGTTTGCGTGCCCTAGGCTTTAATACACTCTCCAGAATATTTTCGCGATGATATTTGTCATTTATTCTGATGCCACAGTCGATTAATAGAGTGGAGAGCGACAATCGGCTGTTATGGCATCCCACACCATCACTATGGCCGGCGCTTAAGTTCTGGTGGCCAACCGAAGGTGCACATTTTCAGCTGACCTCTTTGGCAGTTAAACACCATCATTTTGTTTGTTTACAAACTGCTCGACAACGAATGTTTTCTTATCGGAGACGAAGAAAACCAAATTCGGCAGTTCACCACTTTCTGCCAAGCGAAGCAACTCTTTAGCTCTTTTGAGTCTATTCTGTTGCTGTGTAAGTTCTTGCACTTTTTGCGAAACAAAACAACGGACATTTCTGGACAGGAAAGCGATATAGAATTTTTGACTTCAGGCTAATATAAGCAAAATTCTCAAAAGGGGTCCCTTATAAAACATAGGCAATTTTGTTTAAACAATCACATTGTCATTTTATTGCAAAACTTGGAGAATATTTTTTGTAATAACTACTAATTTGTAATAATTATATTAATATATATGCTATTTTATAACTTTGCTTATGTAGTTGCACTTGGTTTTTTTTTCGTTTGGTATTTAAACTAAAAATGGTGATTGGTGTAGTTAATGCAAATTGGCAATTCTTGAAAGAATCTGCTTCAATTGAATTTTCCGTATTTTTCTCTCTCTTTCTCTTTTCTTTCTTTCATTTTCTTCTCTTTTTGCCATCTAGGTTTGGGTAATGAACATTTCTGGATATCGGGTACCGATCTAGCCGATGAGGGTAGCTTCTTCTGGATGGCTACTGGACGCCCGATCACCTTCACAAATTGGAATGCTGGCGAACCGAATAATTTCCGCTATGAAAATGGTGAAGAGGAAAATTGCATGGAACTGTGGAATCGTGATGGCAAGGGTCTGAAGTGGAATGATTCACCCTGTAGTTTCGAGACATATTTCGTGTGTGAAGTACAACCCTGAGTAAGGATGAATAGGTGGAACCACAACGACTACTACAACAACCACAACAACAATGGATTTAGGATAACAAATTTTAAACGAATTAAGAAAAAACAAAACGAATTGGCAAGAAAATAAGTAAAACAAACAAAAAAAAAACATGGATAGTAATTTTTTAGCTCTCTTTTTTAGGCTTTTTTCCATATTCCATAATGCTAGTGGCTTTCACAAATGTCCTTTACATTTCATTAAACAAAATGCATTTGATTTAGTTTAGTTGGAGAAAAATATTGAAAATTTTAATAATTTGCCTAATTTTTAGTTAAAATGCATGCATGCAATTAAAGAAAATGATAATCTCTCTCTCACACACTCTCTCTGCCACTGAATCACAACAACTCACACAATAACTCACTTACTCACAAATACATGCATAATTTACACATATTGTTGCTACCACAATTAACACAATGACGATGTCGACGAAGAGCTTTGAATGACAGAAAGAAGTCTGTGCGTAGTTTATTTTTACCAAAGGATTTGTTTGGAAATCCTTACAGATTTTAGTGATACATCCGACCAATGGACCGACCGACCGCCCGCCCCTCACTCACTCACAACACAAACACTATCATATGTTGCTTTTCATGCCTCTTCATTTGTAGGAATAGTTTAAAAAATGAATGAAGAAGAATGTACGTATTTTTTAATCGTGTTTAGTTTTTTTAGTTTTAGTAATTAGTTATAATTATTTATGTTTACAACAAAAAGACAACAATCTAAATGTTCAAACAAATGATATTGTTTAGTAATTAAAGAAAGAAAATAAAATGTAAATAAAATTGAAAAAAAAAACAACAAAAAATATATATTTACAATTCATTATTTTGGGAGCTGGCCAAAGGTCGCAAGAGACATAAGTTAGATTTCATGAAAAAACAAACAATCCTAAAGATGAAACGCTCCAAGCAGGCTATGTATTGAACTAGATACATTATAGTTATATATTCTAAAATGAACCAGTAAGGAAAAGTCAAAAGAAGGGCAGTACCGACTATATGATACCCTACTTCACTATGCATATCTATTAGAGCTCCCATAAGAAAAGAATTTATTTCAAGCAGATCATACTACTTATCAACATTTGGCTTTAGAGCAGTTATAGTTTGCTATGGAGTGTATGATATCACTTTGAGAAGGATTATATTAAAAAAAAATATAACGGAGCCGAGTTGCACAAAATTCACTCCTTTTGGACTGTTATTAGCCATTATTTGCAAATAAACGTGAAATCGGGACGAATTCGATATACTTGCTTCTAGACTGAATTCAGGACTTTTGGACCAATATTGGTTGAAGATATATATAGGACCTATATCCAAATCTGAACCGATCTTGACAAAATTTTATATACTCATTTCAGAGCTGTATCTGGTACCAAAGATCACTGTTATGGAATGCATATTACTTTAAACCCCAAATCGGACAAAACATATACATGGGAGCTATAGCTATATCTTAACCGATATACACCAAATTTGAAGTACTGGTGTATATTATGAATTTAGTCGTATATCCCAGAATTCAGCCCATTTGGGCTGATAGTAGCCATTTGGTGCACAATTAACCTCATATCGTATAAATATATATATATGTGGGAGATATATCCTAATCTGAACCGATCTCGATAAAATTTGGCAGAGGTATTTTCGAGCAGTATCTGATATCCGGTACCAATATCATTCTTCTGGAGTGAGTATTACGCATATGAGGGATTTAAAACCACAAATCGAATGAAACATAGATATGGGGGCTGTAGCTATATCTGGACCGATTTTCTCCAAATTTGATTAACTTATTGCTAGACTGAATTCGGTGGGATGTACCGAAATACAGGTCATTTGGACTTATATTGGTCATTTAGGGGACATTTAACCCGAAATCGGTTGAAGATATGTGGGAGCTATGTCTAAATCGTATCTGATTATCACCAATTTCAAAATTTTTCCTAAATAGTCCACATTGATCAGTCCTAACGTTGGTCTAAAAATCAAACTGTTGGAACTTGAAATTATACTCATAAAAAATCCGAATTAGTCATTGAACACACATTCTTAAAAGTTCCATCTTTGGTCCTTGGAAGAATGTATTTCGAATATTTTTTAAGACCATGAGTGCTTTTCTAAGACTTAAAGATTGAAGTATTTAATCTTGAGGTCTTAGAAAAGCACTCATGGTCTTAAAAAATATTCGAAAAACACCAATTTTGGTTCTTGAAAAAATATTCTAAAAAGTTCAACGGCTAGTCCTTGCAAACATATTTGCAAAAAGGCCATGTTCCGTCCATTAAAATGTATTCTAAGAAAATCTCTTTTGGTAATTTGAGGAAATATTGCTTTGAAGATCATTTTTTGTCCTTTGAAAAATATTTAAAAAAACTCAATTTAAATCCTTTACCATCTATCAGTCTAAAATCTACTGTTGTCCTTGAAAAACATTTCAATGGAAGAAATGTTTCCTGCCTTGAAAAAAATATACTCAAGAGCCTTCATAGACTTTTGAAAAATATTCCAATAGCGTCTATTTTGGTTTTTGAAAAAATTTTTTAAAAAAGTTCAACGGTTAATCCATCAAAAAGACCATGAAAATTATTCTAAGAAAATCTCGTTTGGTAATATTGGAAAATATTACTCCTAAAATCAATTTTTGTCCTTTGAACAATATTTTTAGTAAAATCATGTCAAAAAGTATATTTAGTTCATTTAACATCTATACGTCCAAAGTCTACTGTTGTCCTTGAAAAAATTTTCAAAGGAAAAAAAAATTCCTGCCTTGAAAAAAATTACTCAAGAGACCAAATTTCGTGTCTTTGAAAATATTTGATCCCAGTAAAAATACTGTTAAAATGTGGACAGTTGGTTCTTAAAAAATATAATCGAAAAATTTTAGTTTGACTCCTGAAAAATATTTATAAAATATGAACATTTGGTCTCTTAAAAATATTCTTACAAGATCTTTGAAAAAATATTTCAAAAAAGTCAACGCCAGGTCCTCACGAAAATATGTTTTAAATGTCGAATTTCCTTTCTATGTTTTTCGCCTAAAATACTCCTAAAAAGGACACGTTTGTTTCTTAAAAAAGTTGTATAAAAGTATGTACTCATTTCTCAAATATCGGGAGGTGCCGTTACATGAGGGCTATACGAAGGCGTGGACCTGCACAGACAATTTTCTGTAATAGGCTGTAGTATCCATTACGAACTTTCAAATACCAAATTTGAAACAATTCCGGTGAATAATATCGCTAAAATCATTAAAAAATCTAATATTGGGAGGTGCCGTTATATGGGGGATATACAAAGGCTTCGACCTGCACATACAATTTTCTGTCATAGGCGAACCATTACGAACTTCAAATTTGAAACATTGTAGCTCAAATGTAGCTTAAATCATCAAATTAGCGAAAATAGGGAGGCACCATTATGTGGGGGCTATACCAAAAAGTGGACCTACATCACCCATTTTCAATACCAAAAGTCCTGCAGACATAACACATATTTGAGCAAAATGAAGTGTGTGGTCTAAAAACTTCGTCTAGTGGCTCTAAGGTTAATCTTTAAATGATTGTTAGTCTAGACGTACACACACCATTGTAGCTTTATATAGTCCCACATTTTTTTTTTTTTTTTCAAAATCCATAATAGTCGTCACAAATATTTGTAGGTCCTATAAAATCCACGACAATAATCCCTTTAAAAAATATTTTATAAAATACAAAATCATTGATAATTTATTCTTAAATATACGTTTCTTCCCCACAGGTCTACAAAATGAACACTTCTGGATATCCGGCACAGATTTAGCCGACGAGGGCAGCTTCTTTTGGATGTCGACGGGTCGTCCAATTACATTCATCAATTGGAATGCCGGTGAACCGAATAACTATCGCTATGAAAATGGTGAAGAGGAAAATTGCATGGAACTGTGGAATCGTGATGGCAAAGGACTGAAATGGAATGATTCACCCTGTAGTTTTGAAACGTTTTTCATCTGTGAAGTTTCCCCCTAAAACAAAAAAATGTTAAAATTAAATGTTATAATTAAGATATGTATTATTAGAAATTTATGTAAAATGTAGAAAAATAAATTTTCCATGGAGTTCAAATTATCAAAATTAAAAAAAAGAAAAAAAAAATAATTGCAATTGTAGTTTTTTGGTTAAAACATTGACGATTTTTTCGAGATAAATAATGAATGACACAAGTTAAAGTTTATTTTTTCGTATTTAGTTTTTTATTTAAGTCGATGAAAACAATAAAAATGTATAAAAAAAAATTATTTCAATTTATTTAATTGTAGTGGAATTTTAACGTCAGATTAGTAGCTCAACCCGAAAAAGACAAAAAATTATATAGGTGTATGATTGAATTTTACTGAGTAAGTTTGCCCAAATGTAAACGTTAAAAATAATAATAATAATAATAATAATAATAATAAAAATAATAATAATAATAATAATAATAATAATAATAATAATAATAATAATAATAATAATAATAATAATAATAATAATAATAATAATAATAATAATAATAATAATAATAATAATAATAATAATAATAATAATAATAATAGTAATAATAAAATTAATAAACAAGTAAGCAAAGGCTACAGTCGAGCGGGGCCGACCGTTGAATACTCTACAACACTATAATAAACCATACAGTTTATATAGGCGAAATACTCGACAGAATTCCACAAGATATTGTGACAAATAATAAAAGAAAACCATCAGGTTTCGTTCTCTAATTTTCGAATAATAGCAACTTAAACTAATTTGCTCATTTCCAATTTATTGGAAGATGTTGCACATAAATGGTCTTCCTAGATCTGGAACCAATATTTCCCAAAGACCCATAACCTCTCAGAAATGGCAAAAGATTAACATTTATTATTGGTTTTTGACTGATACAGACATTTGACTCTATTCTTCAACGAAATCAGCGTTAACGAAATAGTCAGAAGTGCGTCTTTCCTGTATTTGTGAATTCTCCAAAAAGTCACTGGAATGGACATTTTCGTATTTTGTCTACAAAAGTTGGCAAACTATTTCACACATTGAATATTTTTGGGTGGCCATCCAAAACTGTTTGGCTTTTGCAATGTCCGGTAACCCCCATTCAAATGTGCGTGAGGATCGGGCGATAATTACGACCTGCTGACAATTTTGCAGTTTTTTGGTCCATTTCAACCCCTAAATATATGACGATCATCTCCGAAAAGAGTAGGCTTCTATTCTGACCCTCATCTTATCCCCATGCAAAATTTCGTAAGGATCGGGCCATAAAAGCGATCTGTATATGATATCCTGATATCCTAACTACTTAGTTTTGTTAGCTGTAGAAATATTACCAAATGTTTAATTCAAAATGAAAATATGCCAAAAATATGACAAAATGGAACAAATATGAGAAAATATTACAAAATCAATATTTTCATATTTAGAGAGATATTTTTATGCAGTTTTTTAGACGTTTTTTCTTTCCTGCCAAAAGGCCATTCAGAATTAATGAGAACTGTCGAAATCAGTTCAGCCGTTCTCGACATATATGAGATCTTTCAAGCATATCTTCTTTGATAGACATATATATCACATGTATTTGCTATATATTCGATTTTTTGGATCTTAACATCAATGTAAAGATCAGAAGTAACCTTGTCAAGGCTTTGTGATTTCGCCGGGATTTAAAATATTCGCGGTTTAATGAAAAATTTTGAATTTTTTCAACAAACAAGATATGGCCTATTTTACCCGCTAAATATTATCCGATGACCACCCAAATTGGTTGGCTTCTTCCCCGCC